GAGAGAGAGAGAGAGAGAGAGAGAGAGAGAGAGAGAGAGAGAGAGAGAAAGATAAAGATAGAGATAGATAGAGATAGATAGAGATAGATAAATAGATAGGTAGGGAGAGGGAGAGAGAGAGAGAAAGATAGAGAAAAATAGAGATAGAGATAGATAAATAGATAGGTAGGGAGAGGGGGAGAGAGAGAGAGAGCAACGGGCGAGCTCGTAAACGACTCGCACTACTGCGAAACGAAGAACACCGACGTAAGGATGCTGTCTGTATCTACTTAGCCCGGTCGGTGGCAGAAGACAGTCGCGACAGCTCCACTAGAACGTAACGGCGTGTGTCTTCCGCCAATTAGCATTCATCTAGGCGCGGCTGATACAGTGAGCGGCGCGTAACGCGAATACGTTAATTCCGCCATCGCTATTGCGTTAGCTTTGCGCCTTTGCTGTTTCGCTTAACCGCGTATTCCGCGACCGCACAATGTAAACGGAGAGCGCCAACGTCATTCCGATGCATCAAGCCTCGTTGTACACGTACGTGGAGAGCAGCCCTCCTGCGTAACAGGAACAGACGTGTTCGTCGTGATAACCTACCTTCAGAACGTGTGGAATTACTCGATAAGCTCACGTTCCACCGGGCCGGAGCCAATTCTAGGCTACACGAAAGAAAACATCCCGGCGCTGTCAGCGTTTCCCGGGGATCTAGAGTAAACAACATGACTAAGCCCGTGAATCGACTCCGCGCTTTCGGCGAATACGCATAATCCCGAAAAATCAAAGTGCTACACTTTGAGGCGTGGGACAATCTGAAAACTAAATAACGGGAGCGCGCACGCGCGTGCCAAAATACAATTTTCTCAAAATATTGATGCCACTGTTCCGACCCCGATTGTCACAATCTCGAAAACTGAGTACTGGGACAATCTGCCGAAATACTGAAAGCATCAAGCTGTCCCATGAAGTTGCATGACGGCTTATTGGCAACTTCATACTTTCAATATTTCGAGGGATTGTTCCTGTGTATGTACTCGATTTTCGGAATTGTAACTTTTCGGGACAATGCGTGCTTTCAATATCCCGGGAAAATTGTATTTCAGTATATTGTCCCGGAGGTATTCGGTTATTGGGATTGTAACTTTTCAGAATGTTGTCCCACTGTTTTAGAATTTCGGTATTCCCTTTCTCTGAATTATGCATGTCCACTGCGTTTCCACTTATTATTCATGCGTGAGTCAAAACGGTCAAATTATTTTTACGTATACATGGAAAAAACGATATAGTTGATCCATACAGAAATCTAGTTGTGCCAACCAGATTCAATAGTAAAATACGGAACAACTATTTATGTGGTTGCTGTGACCAAAGAGCAATGGCTGAGTTACTTATGTTGCAACAGTGATAATATATGGTTAATACAAACGCGGCTCATTACAAAAAATGTTCTATCAAACAAAAAATATTCCTTATGAGTTATTTTAAGTATTTTAACTATTTTTCCGTATATCTTTTTTTCATTATTCTTTGTATTATTATTCTTTTTATTCTTATTCTTTTCAATATTATTATAAATTAAGTTTAAAATCAAAATATCAAACATGAATGTAATAAAAAAATCGAAGAGTATCATTACGTGACAACTATAAATGTATATTTATACACTCAGAACCAGTTTTCACATGTATACATCTCTAGTTGTGCGCGTAGTGAATTGCTTTTGTTTTCTAACATCGCTGCTTTGCA